GCTCTGATTTGTTCTGCCAGCTGACGGGGTACAGCAAGGAGAATATCCTGCGTCGCAACTGCCAATTCTTGAAAAGTCCCACGCGCGATGTGATCAAGGGCAACGTGCCTCAATACACCGACCACGCCGCCGTGGCACACTTGAAGCGAAAGGTGCTGCGCAGGAAGGAATTCCAAGCGAGCTTCCTCAACTACAGCAAGGACGGGACCCTGTTCATCAACCTCGTCACTGTCATTCCCATTCATCTGCTGGACTACGGCGAGACGACCCACTTGGTAGGGTTCCAGGTCCATCTGACACGTTCGCCGGGTGCGGTGCTGAAGCAGCCGGACAATGGCAGCTACGTCGTCGATCACACCAATGTCGTCGCGATCTCCGACTACACAGCTCCAGCTCTCGAACGCACCGACTCGCCCGAGCTGATCAAGCGACGAGTGGCCGAGCCGCAGGGGAACTCCTAGATGCTCAAGCCCGACCATAGCGTCGACCATGACAAGTGGTCCTAGACCATTCTCAACAACTCGTCCGATCTAATCTGAGCCATCTCAACGGGCCTCGACATTGTCTTTTTGTCTCCTTCCACCACTTCCATCCTAGGCCTCAATTTAAAAGACATCGTCGGCAAGTCGCTGAACGAGTCCCTGCACTCAACCGATGCGGTCCGGGTCTTCTGTGACACCAAGGATGCCATCCGCGCATTTCAAGGCCCGATGGACGAGAGCAACAGCAGCAGCACCGCAGCGGGGGCCAAGGACAAGGGACCCGCAGTGCCAGTGGCGGGTGCTTCTTATTCTGCCTGGACGAGCACCGATCTGAACCCGCTTCACCGCTTCCCGCTGCGGGTGAAGACGGCAAACAACACGTATCGATGGATCGACAACATCGGCTACGTCCAACGCAACCAGTAGCGAGGCACGAGTATTTATTGCTTGCCGGACGTCCGCGCAGCGTCTACCACGTTGCGTCAGACTTTCTGGGCGGAGCACCGGAATCGACGGGTGGGAGCAGGTGGACGCGAATTTCCAAGGACGGCACCTTCCTATATGCGGATCCGCTGCGACCCGACAAGCTCAACGACTGCACGTCGCTGGGCCAGTCTGCACAGAACTTTTTCGAGGCAGAGCACTAGCCTTCCTTGACGCGCTGCAGTCGCCAGTGACGGTGATCATGGGCCACTCGGGGGCCAAGCCGCGGAGATCGGGATGGGAATTGGGGCGACTCGGGTGAGAGGCAACCTTTTGTATTGCAGGCTTGCTCCATGGGAAATTCACGAGAATTACTCGTAACCTTGAGCCAGCATACTGTCGGTATGCCCGGTCTCCCCGAACAGTGATCATTTTCAATCTCTCGTACAGTATCGAATGTACGAGCTATCTATATATCTCGGTGTTTTGCCTACATAGCTGATTCTCATTCCGCCAAAGATACATCTTCGCTCATTTGATCCACACTTGCTGTTGGTATAACATCACGTGACCGCATCAACACTTACCCCTTTCAGGCTGTGCACAATCATGGGGTAGTGTGTTCCACTTCTGTCTACTATTTAACAGAGTAGTTGCTCCCTCTTAAAGGGAGCATGCATCAAACAATCGTTTTATTCTAGTAACTTCGTGTTCACCACATATCGTGATATCACCCCGAGAGAAACCAACACTTGCCTTCACTCTATCTACTTCCACTACGTTGCCTCATTTCACATCCCTATCTCCAACCATGCCTTTCATCGACCTCCCAAATGCAAAATTGCACTACGAGATTTTCGGT